ACATGCTCCACTCAGAAAGCTTCAACATACAAGCTTCAACAAAAGAAAATTCAAAGAACTTAGAGAAGAAGGCTTTGGTGTATTTAACACAATACGTTGAAATGAAGGAAAGCTTATTTTGATATCCTCGATAAGCTACAAATATGTACATATGCATGAGTCAAAATAAACACACAAGAGGGAGCCTTCACAAAGGTTGCTTAGGAGAAGTCTCAGCAGTCGGTAGAGCCCCAGAAAGAGAAGGCACCGGAGGGGGATCATTTGGAGCCTCAGTACTGGACAGAACCCTAGAAGGAGGAGGCATCAGAGGTTGATCATTCGGAGCTTCATTATGCGGTACAGCCCCAGAAGACGAAGGCAATAAATGCCTTTGGAACAAACCCACAAATCTCTGATGATCAAGTAAAACCTGACCATCAGTTTCCTTCATCTGGTCAAGCTTCCTCTTCATGTTTGTAGCATAGTCATGTGCGAGCCGGTGCAACTGTTTATTCTCATGCTTGAGCCCCCTAATCTCCTGTTTGAGACTCATCACTTCAGCCGCCAATGATTCAACTTGGCGGGTTCGAGCAAATAGGCGTTGGGCCATATTAGACACAGAACCTGCACACTGAACACTGAGAGCCAGCGAATCCTTAACTGCTAACTCATCAGACCGTTTGGAAAGTAGTCTGTTATCTTTGGGAGTGAGAAGGTTCCTGGCCACCACCGCAGCGGTCATATCATTCTTCATCACAGAATCCCCAACGGTAAGAGGACCAGTAGGGGAGACGAAGGATGGGCGCCATATGTTGTCTGGAGAAGGCGGGGCTGCCTCTTCAACAAGGTTCAAGTCAAAACGACGATCGGAGGGGCCAGACATTTTCAAAGGTGTTGAAGAGAGAAGAGGTCGGACAAATCAAGATCTTAGAAGTGCAAGAAGGAAGCTTCTACTGGTGGAGATTCAAGTGTGCTTTGGAACTTAATGCCAGCCCCTATAAAAATCTGCACTCGACGGAGCTTCAGAAATCGAAAGAGGCGCCTGCTCAGAAATCGAAGAGGCGTTTGCTTTCTCAAAAGTTGGGCTGCTTAGAGATCACGAGGGTTGATCTCAGAAATCGAAGAGGCGTTTGCTTTCTCAAAAGTTGGGCTGCTCAAAGACCACGAAGGCCGATCTCAGAAATCGAAGAGGCGCTCGCTTTCTCAAAAGCTGGGCTCCCCAGAGACCACGAGGGCCGATCTCAGAAATCGAAGAGGCACCTACTTTTCCAGCCTTGTCAGCACCTGTCACACGCACACTCAGCTTTGCGGAAATTATGGGCATTCTGTCGAAGACTTCTGGGGAAGTAGAAAACACATGAATCTTACTGTTCAATCACCCACTTCCCACACGCAACAATAGCTCACGGGTACCACAGATAACTTTGCCAAAGTTTCTCTGCCAAAGTTGAGCACGTGAAGCTTGCAGCTCCCACTACATCGCTCTGACCAAGAAGGGTAAAAGAATAGCAAAGAAACAGCACTAACAAAGTTTAGACCCATAAATTTTGAAGGTCTAGCTACCATATTATTACCCACAAGGGTAAAGGAACAATACCACTGCTGGATAATTGGAAAGTCCCTGTGTGTCAACCTCTGTGCTTCGTGGCAAGGTAGACTAGCAAACATGCCCAACCTTTACTCACATTCGAGAAAACACTCCCAATAAGATTGCTTGCTCCAAAATCGAAGAGGCACCGTCCTCCAAATCTCGAGAGCCAGACTCCCAACATGACTACTTTCTTAAAAATCGAAGAGAGGGTAAAGGAATAGTACCATTGCTGGATAATTGGAAAGTCCCTGTGTGTCAACCTCTGTGCTTCGTGGCAAGGTAGACTAGCAAACATGCCCAACCTTTACTCACATTCGAGAAAACACTCCCAACAAGATTGCTTGCTCTAAAATCGAAGAGGCACCGCCCTCCGAATCTCGAGAGCCAGACTCCCAACATGATTACTTTCTCAAAAATCGAAGAGACACTGCTTCCCGAATCTTCGAGAGCCAGACCCCAGCATGATTGCTTTCTCAAAAATCGATGAGGCATCGTTCTCCGAATCAATCGAAGAGGCGCTCGCTTTCTCAAAAGCTGGGCTGCTCAGAGACCACGAGGGCCGATCTCAGAAATCGAAGATGCACCTACTTTTCTAGCCTTGTCAGCACCTGTCACACGCAACAATAGCTCATGGGTACCACAGATAACTTTGCCAAAGTTCTCTGCCAAAGTTGAGCACGTGAAGCTTGCAGCTCCCACTACATCGCTCTGACCAAGAAAGGTAAAAGAATAGCAAAGAAACAGCACTAACAAAGTTTAGACACATAAATTTTGAAGGTCTAGCTACCATATTATTACCCATAAGGGTAAAGGAACAGTACCACTGCTGGATAATTGGAAAGTTCCTGTGTGTCAACCTCTGTGCTTCGTGGCAAGGTAGACTAGCAAACATGCCCAACCTTTACTCACATTCGAGAAAACACTCCCAATAAGATTGCTTGCTCCAAAATCGAAGAGGCACTGTCCTCCGAATCTCGAGAGCCAGACTCCCAACATGACTACTTTCTCAAAAGCGAAGAGAGGGTAAAGGAACAGTACCATTGCTGGATAATTGGAAAGTCCCTGTGTGTCAACCTTTGTGCTTCGTGGCAAGGTAGACTAGCAAACATGCCCAACCTTTACTCACATTCGAGACAACACTCCCAACAGGATTGCTTGCTCCAAAATCGAAGAGGCACCGCCCTCCGAATCTCAAGAGCCAGACTCCCAACATGATTACTTCCTCAAAAATCGAAGAGACACTGCTCTCCGAATCTCGAGAGCCAGACCCCCAGCATGATTGCTTTCTCAAAAATCGAAGAGGCATCGTTTTCCGAATCTCGAGAGCCAGATACCACAGGCCACTTTTTCAAAGTGCTCTGACAGAGTTAAAACATGTGAAACTAGCAGCTCCCACTACCGTGCTATGACCAAGCAGGGTAAAGGAATAGCATTACTACTTGTTGTTAGGGAGACTCCTATATATGTCGACTTCCATCCCCAACGGACAGGCAGACCTGCAAAAATGCTCAACCCTTCATCATATCTGAGAGGGCACTCCCAACGAAGCCTTTCGAAATATTCAGCTTTTTCTTTCCCCCGATAATACCTCTGCAAACAAGCTATACTAGAGCAAGAATATCTCATATCATCAGGGTTAAAAGCAAGAGTATCCCATATCATGCTTTTTCCCTGTCTTTTCCTTTGACCTTGTTTTTACCTGCAAGACAAGGAGAAAGAGAGCAATCAGTCAGCACTTGGAATCAAGCTTCCAGCCAGGAACTGACTGCCTGGAACCCCTTACCTGATTACTTACCTGGCATTGCTCTCGAGTACTCATCTTCAACATGTTATGTTTCCAGGGAAGATTCCGCATCTGCTTGAGGAACAGATAGGGCAAGTGCGAAGGATACAAGGAAGCATGTGGAGACAAGCGTAACAGCACACGTGCCGATACATCCATTACTCTGTCAAAAGCAAAAGTATCCCATATCAGCAGGGTGGAACGTACTCTAGATTTGATGGACTTGTTTTGACCCTCAAATTCTTCAGTCGGCCTTATACTCTGGAGGAAACCAAAAAACCCTCCAGCTCAGTTCAAGAATAAGCCTGTGGAAAGTTACTTCTTCAAAAGCAAAAGTATCTCATATCATCTCTTCTCATTTTTCTTCTCTTTATCCTTCATGCTGCTGCAAGATGGGGAGAAGGTGAACAATCAGTCGGAGCTCTGATTGCTTACCTTGTCTGTCACCTCTTTCAGCAGACCCCCTAGCTCGGCGACTTGGGGGACTCCTACTACATGGTTTGTATCGCGCTTGACCAAGCCTGAAACTACAAGTAAGCTTCAAGTGCAATTGATACATTACCTTGTGCATCTCCACCAGTTAAAGATACCACCCCTGGATGGAGGAAGAGTACTTCCAGAGAAGATGTTACGAGATCATTCTCCCACAATATTTCCGAATGTCATTTGTACTAAATCATTCACTTGTACTCACTAAAGGAGAGCTTGAACCTATGTACTTGTGTAAACCCTTCACAATTAATGAGAACTCTTCTATTCCGTGGACGTAGCCAATCTGGGTGAACCACGTACATCTTGTGTTTGCTTTCTTATCTTTATCCATTTATATACTTATCCACACTAATGACCGGAGCAATCTAGCGAAGATCACAAAAAGCGACCGTTTTCGCTACCTAGGATCTATCTTGCAAGAGAACGGAGAATTAGATGGAGATCTCAACCATAGAATACGAGCTGGATGGATGAAGTGTAAGAGTGCATCCGGCGTGTTGTGTGACCGTCGTAGGCCACTGAAGCTCAAGAGAAATTTTTATAGGACGGCAATAAGGCCAGCGATGTTTTATGGCACAGAATGTTGGGCGGTGAAGCATCAACACGTACACAAAATGGGTGTAGCGGAGATGAGGATGCTTCGTGGGATGTGTGGGCACACGAGAAAGGATAAGATTGGGAATGAGGATACCCGAGGTAAAGTAGGAGTAGCCGAAATTGTAGGAAAGATGAGAGAAAATCGGCTCCGGTGATTTGGACATGTGCAAAGAAGGCCGACTGACGCTTCGGTTCGAAGGTGTGACTACGGGACAGAGGTTCAGGGCCGAAGGGGTAGAGGAAGACCTAGGAAAACTTTGGAAGAGACTCTAAGAAAAGACTTAGAGTACTTGGATCTAACGAAGGACATGACACAAAACCGAGCGCAATGGTGTTCTAGGATTCATATAGCCGACCCCACTTAGTGGGAAAAGGCTTTGTTGTTGTTGTTGTATAGATTGAAAGTGGCAGGTAAAGAGGAATGGCTCTCTCTTTCCGCTGTGGAATTAAGTATTGACCAAAACAGTAAATACTTTCTAGGCTTCCGTGACGTGGTCTTTGGGGTTAACCCGTAGATCAATTGCATTTTATGGTCAGGAACTCTACAAAGTCTTTGTGTTAAACTATTAACATATATTTGTTCTTCTCCTTGGAAAAAAAATACCTCAGAAATGCAGCAGCAACAGCTCAATATCTCTTGGGTTCGCATATTCTCAATTACTTTGTTAACATTGCTCGGAACAACCCAGAATGCCTCTGCTTGTGAAAAATCCAAATGCGGGGATCATGGCGAGGCCATCCATATTCTGTTTCGCCGTGGACATCCCTGTAGTCCGACATCTGATTGCCATGCGAATGAGGCTGACTACGGACAGGAGCACCGAGCGGTAGTGGTGAAATTCTTGGTGAAGCGCATAGATTACAAGCATCAGGAAGTCCAAGTCTATCACCCGCGTAAATGCCTGCTGTTAAAGCCTTTAGAAGTTGATAACATCAACATGTCATTGCCAGCCTCTCAATTCTACTTCCAAGAATCCATGCCTTCCAACGCTACCTTATTCCACTGTCCTGTTGAAAGAGAGTTAGACGGTGCTAAAGTCCCCTGCATTAGTGGCCCTGGCTACAGAGTTTATGCCATTGAATCTTCCTACGAAACTATGTACTATCCGCTCCTAGAGTCGTGTACAAAGATGTACGATGTTTTGTCGATTCCACAGATGTACTATTATTATAGTGAGGTTCCTAATTTGAAATGGAAGAAACCAAATTGTAGAGAGTGTGAGGCAGAGGGCAACAAGTGTAGAATCAAGTACAACCACACCAACACTGAAATTCAATGTGTTCGCTTGAGCAAACCTAGTAAGTCTGCCTACATTTTCAATCTTGGTTTTATTTTACATATATTCTGCTATATTATTGCACTTGCTGCTTACTTATCTAGTAAGCATCCGACTGAACATATTTCAAACAACTAGATGCAACGCATTTGATATGAATTTCAAATGAATAGGCAAAGAGTAATTTGTTTTCTTCTATTACTAAATTTGCCCGAGCAGTAGATCATCACTATTACTAAATTTGTCAATGCTTTTTTCAGGTGTAACATGGAAATTTGCCGCCGTAGGTGGTGAGTAGTCTGACGGTTTTTTATTTTATTTCATGTCTAGCTAGACCGTCGGGAATATTATTATTTACTCAAGGATTTGTTTGATTCAGGTACAACCCTGGGATCATTTGTTGTATTACTTCTGCTGGTCGTTGCAGCCTATCGTGTCTATAGGTCTAATCGAAAAGAAAAGGAGAGTCAATTGAAGATTGAAAAGTTTTTAGAAGATTACAACGCTCAGAAACCAAGCAGGTATTCCTATGCAGATATTAAGAGGATCACAAACCAATTCCAGGACAAGTTAGGCCAAGGAGCCTATGGAACTGTTTTCAAAGGAAAACTTTCTTCTGAATGCTTTGTTGCTGTAAAAGTTCTCAATAGTTCCAACGGAAATGGGGAAGATTTCATAAGGGAAGTTGGAATGATGGGAAGTATCCACCATGTCAACGTGGTTCGTTTGGTTGGTTTCTGTGCTGATGGGTTTAACAGAGCTCTCGTTTATGAGTTCTTCGCCAATGGTTCACTGCACGATTTCATTTCATCGGCAGACAATAACAATCGTTTCCTTGGTTGGGACAAGTTGCAAGATATTGCTCTTGCTGTAGCCAAGGGAATTTATTATCTTCATCAGGAATGTGAGCAACGAATCCTCCATTTCGACATCAAGCCTCATAATGTTTTATTAGACGACAATTTCACTCCAAAAATTTCTGATTTTGGTTTGGCCAAGTTGTGTTCTAAGGATCAAAGCATAGTGTCCATGACTACAGCTAGAGGGACTATGGGCTACATTGCACCTGAAGTGTTCTCCAGGAACTTTGGAAATGTGTCCTATAAGTCGGACGTCTATAGTTTTGGAATGCTGCTGCTTGAGATGGTAGGGGGAAGGAAGAATATTGATTCAACCTCAGCAATCCCAACTGAAATTTACTATCCAGAATGGATCTATAATCTCCTAGAAGAAGGAGACGACCTACGAATCCATCTTGGGGAGGAAGGAGATGGTAAAACTCCAAAGAAACTCGCAATTGTAGGGCTCTGGTGCATCCAGTGGCATCCAGCGGGTCGTCCTTCCATGAAAGAAGTTGTTCAAATGCTGGAAGGAGGAGAAAACTTAACCATGCCTCCCAATCCTTTTGCATCTACAGGTCCTGCACGAACAAATGCAACTACACCTGCAAGAAATCTAAACATTCAGTTAGAAGCTATTGCTGAATTAGAGTAACATATCTACTTAGATATATAGATAGTTATGTGCGCACACACTTATGTATGTTAATAAGGACTCCTGAGAAGTGTAACCATTGTACCTAAGTACCATATGTGCTCGATAGCTCGAGGTGTTTGTCCGACTACGTAATTACATTCGAGGTTTGTTGGATTGCTTGGTTTTTCACTTGAAACCAATGTCTGGCCTGGCCATATGCATTACTTTTCCATAAAACTTTTATGCAAAAATCTTTCCTCAAGTTCTTACACCACAGTTCTTAACTAGCTTCGATAGACATATTGTTGCCATGCTTGCTTAGTTATGATCCTTCAAAGTTTCTAGGTTCTCAGTTTCCCATTCTTTAAAAAAAAAAAAACAACTAGTGGCAAGCCACGATTATCCACCCCTTCCTAGGGCCGGGAAGACTCAGTTTCCCATTCAAATTGATATGTTTTTGTAGCATTCTTCTTCTTTCTTTTTTTTCCGAGTACTTTTACATATTGAGGGCGATAATTGCACGATGTGGATATTGGAATGATGAATTATTAGTGAAAATTCACTTTTTCTTGAACAACAATCACTTTAGGATGAGTGACGTTACCAACTAGAGAGATTGGTCTAGTCATATCTCTTCTAGAATGTCGAAATACGTCTCAAGTTTAATACATACCTCAATCAAAATCAAATAAGATAATGGTGATTACACATTGATTTATATGAGGAAATAAATAAACTACTAAAAAGAAAACTATTGGCAAGTGTTGGATTGTTTTAGTAATAAGGTCTTCTTCTTCAACCCATTGTGCCTTGAGTGTAAATTTTTTTCTCTCTCTCACTCTTTTTTTTTTTTTTTTTTTTTTTGCCTAGATCGTAATTCTTTTCAAACTTTCCATGAGGTTTCGATCCAGTCTTTATAAATCGAACGATTCAAGGTCTTCCACTCAAAGCAAAGATGTCCAAGTGAAGTGGACTCTTACTGGTTTAAAAAAAAAAGTGGACTCTTACCATTGACCAGCAAGGGATAAAGCAAAGATGTCCAAGTAAAGTGGACTCTTACCATTGACCGGTACATCCATCACTATTGACCCCATAAAGTATGCATGTCAATAAAAATTAAATCGAGGATGGAGGCCTAGTGCAGTGGCACTAGAGCCAAGAAAACTCCCACCTCATCCAAGGTTCGAATCCCCCCACCCCCAAATTTAACTAATGACAAAAAAAAAAAAAAAAAAATTAAATCAATTCATTCTTCTTTTTTCAAGTAAATAACTCAATTTCCAATAGACTCGGATTTTCTGACTAGTACAAGGTAAATAAGAGGGATGAGGATCCTCTTCATATTCTTTTTGTGAAAATCTAGATGATCAATTAATCATGCTCATTCATCGTATATTGTGCGGTCAGTTTCATTAAATATTGTTTGTATTTAATTTTAAATAAAAAATTTAAAATATTTTATTATTACACGATGTACGATGAATAAACACAATTGATTGATCATCCGAATCTCTACAAAATGATCGGGCTAGGATCCTAATCCCAATAGAGCCACTTGCCTAAGCGCACGTGGCACAGTCAGCTTTTCACTAATATGAGTTATATATTGGATCCACGAGCAAATTGCCGTTTCATCTAACCATATCTTGTTCTGTCTATGACATTATTAAACTCGCAAATTTGTTGTTCCCTCTAGATATATAGATTTACTCATTAGTCACCTAAAAAGTGTTATAAAATTAGTCAAGTAATTGAGTATAGTAGAAACAAAAGAATATCTCTCAGATTATTGGTGCCAAAATAAGACATGGTTCAACTACATCATCACATAATTTTCCCTAAATGTTTCTTTCGTTGAGTGCTCAGAGCAATCATGATTACATGTATGACACTATTGGAGATTGCAACAGACAATCTTTATGTAGTGATTTTTTACATTTCCGCGAGATCTCACTTGTCAACCAAACTATTGAGCAATGAATGGGACGTTGCTCCTAAAGCAAGGGAGATGTGCTTAACTGCTTTGTTCAAAGCAGCTTGCTCAATTGTTCATTTTACGGCAAAAGTTTGAAGCAAGGCAAAAAGATGAGAATGAAGTAAAGCGAAGAAAAACAGTTTATTAATTTCTAGCAAATTGGTAAACTGGCACGAAGGCCAACAGAGTTCAAGGAAAGGAAAGGAAAAGACAGTAAATCCTAAAGTTTATCTAGAAAGACTACTCCTCAACAACTTGGACATCTTTAGCAGCCGCATCTCTCTCAGCAACATCAACCTCCTGCACTTCATCTACAGTTGCCCCATCCTAAGCAGCATTGTCACCAGCCAGGCCTACCTAAGCGCGTGAGGCTTTTGGTCTTAATCTTATGTGTTATTATTTTATAAGTGCATTTTTGTCAAAAAAAGAAACGGCGAAAATTTGCATTCACATTATTCACTTATAAGAATTGAAACAAAACACTTTAAACTATTGGCATAAAAAATAAAAAGAAATGTTCGAGATGGGTGTTGTCCCACCATACCTCACGCCTTACTTCCATCTTCCCCTAGGGGTGGGCAAATAGGTACATGAACCGTGGGTCGGGGCAGGTAATCACAGTTTGGGGCGGGTAATTACAGTTCGAGGAGGATACGGGCTGGTTTTTAATTTTTAAAAAGAGAAACAAGGCAGGGCAGGGCGGGGCTTTGAAATTTTAGGGGTGGGCCGGTTCAAGAAGTATAAAAAAAAAGGTACCCGGACCGGCTTGTTTGTAACATTTTCCCATTCCTCTCCTGTCGATTCTCAATCTCCTTCCTCTCAAATCGGGGAGCTTGACCGCTCAACGTCTCCCTCCTTGCCTCAATCTTTTCGTCAACGTCAGAGAAGTAGCGGTCGTCAAGGAAGTTGACAGCAGGGACGAAATCGATGGGTGAGTTCATTGAGTTGTAGAAGGGCTTGATCGGGACTCGCTCGTGGCGTCGGCTAAAAGGGTTGGCAGAATGGATGTTGTGGTCGTAGGTGACGTAGAGGGTCGGGACTCCCTCTCTCTCCCCAAACATTCTGCTTCTTCTTCTTCAAGTTCTTAATCCCAGCTAGGTTTTCCACAAATCATGCATTTTTAGCTTTTAGCCCCAACCCCCAATCTGGGTTTTGCTAATTTTCTCTGCATTTTTGCTGCAAGGATTGCGAGGATGGCATAGCCTTGGAGGAGGGAGGTGGAGATGTCGAAGAAGGTGGCAGTTTCGCAAAAAAAAAAAAAAAAAAAAAAAAGGACTTGTGGCCCCAGCTCATTTCAACCAGGCCGGGTTAGGTCCGGTTCCTTTATTAAAATATGTTATCTCCGACCCCGCCAGTCTCTTTTGCACCTGAGTCTAGTCTGATCCTTTCAAAATCGGGCCCGGCCCAACCCGTGTCCAGCCCTATCTTCCCCAATTCGCAACACTCACTTTTTTATCTCTCTCAACCGCACGCCACAACCGACCCTTCACCATCGTAGTCCCACCCCCAACATTCCAGTCGCATTCTATAACCAATCCTGCACCAAATGTAGCGGTGGGTATGATGCTTGCGATGAGTTTTGGTATTAAAGTTCTGATTGGATTTTGAAGAGGGAATTGGGTACGAGGTTTGTAGGATAGAGAAAATTAAGTACAAGGTTTGGTGTTGGCGTCATTGTTACTAGTGAAGGAGATAAAGGATTTTTTTTTTTTTAATTTTCTATGTTTTAAATTTTCATATTATAATATTAATCATGGGTTCCATGTGCCTACCATGTCATCATTTTGACAGAAAACTTAATAGTTAGCATGGAATGACCAATGTTACACCTTTTGTCAAATTAAAGAACCAAAACTAATAAATTTTTAATTGAGGTACCATAGTTCAGTCATAGTTTAGGGATCACAACTATAATTTACTCAAACAAATAGGAAGAAGATGGGTGTTTGGTTATGAGCTCAGGATGAAAGTTAGGTGTTTGGTTAACAAGACCACAAATGTTTGGGGAGAGCTTTAAATGAAAGATGTTTTAATATTTCTAGGCATGTCATTAGGTCAATATTTTGGGTACTCAACAGTCAGTACTAAGTATTGTCCATTTCTGATGACTCGAGCATCTCCAACAATAAATATTAAATCTTTGTTAAATCTCAAAGATTTTATTAACTAATCATTTCACAAAAATAAAAACTCAACCCACCACTTTCTGAACAACTGCAGCGGTTCTCTGTCTCTCTCTCACTCTTCCTTCCTCCATCCCTTTATCTTCCTTCTTTGTTCTTTTATGATGCATGGTTGCGGACACAGAATTATGACAGAACATGATACGAGTATACGTCAAATTAACAAAAGAAATTATTTTATGACCAAAAAAATGCGACACAGGAATAATACCATCATGTCCATGCACCGTAGCTCTTCTTTTTCTTCTTTCCATAATGCTCTCGTCCTTTCCCCCATTTTTTCCGTCCTTTCTCTCTTCTTTTCTTATTCCATCAAACTCTCTCTTCCTTTCTCTTCGTTTTTTACCCGTCCCCTTCTCTCTTCTTCATCTTTTTTTTTTCCTTCTTTCCATCAAACTCTCTCTCTCTTTTTCCCCTCCCTTTCTTTCGTCCTTCTCTCTTCTTTTTCTTCTTTCCTTCACTCTCTCTCTCTCTCTCTTGCTTCCTTTCTCTTTGTTTTTGTCCGCCCCTTTTTCTCATTCTTATCTCTTCTTTTTCTTCTTTCCAGCAGATTCTCTCTCTCCTTTTTCTTTGCTTTTTTTTTCCGTCTTTTCTCTCTGTTTTTTCTGGTCCCCTTCTCTCTTCCCTCTCTTTTTCTCTCTCCTTTTTCTTTGCCTTTTTTTTCCGTTCTTTTTTTTTTACACTTTAACGAAAAACCACATTTTTACACTAAAAAGTCAATCTTGATACTATTCAATTTACCCTTTATTTTATCTTTATCATTAAAACTCAAAATTTTCAATCCCTTTTTATTAGTTTTCCTTTTTTTTTTCCGATCCTTTTTTTTTCGGTCCTGTTCTCTCTTCCTTCTCTCTTTTTCTTCTCTACATATGTCTCTTTTTCTCTTCTTTTTGTTCTCTCTTCTTTCTCTCTTTTTCTTCTCTACATATGTCTCTTTTTCTCTTCTTTTTCTTCCTTCCATCAGACTCTCTCTCTCTCTCTCATCTTTCTCTTTGGTTTTTTTCTTTTTTCCATGC